ACCACCTGAGGACCTGTTAAATGCAGATTCTGATTTGGGAGGTCTGGGTTGTGGTTGCGGCCGGAGATTCTGCCCGTCTAACAAGCCCCCAGCTGATGGTGAGGTAGCTGGTCATAGGAACATACTTTGAGCTGTAAGGTATTACCCCATACTCCTTACTTCAGTGTATATTTGAAAATTTCCATAATAAAAATGTTCAAAATAACCTTGGAAGCTCTTTAACATGCAGGCTCCAGAAACGATAATTCAATAGGTCTAAAGTGGGGTCATTATCAAGGCCCCCAGGTGCTACCCATGCAGACAGCTTACAGATCAAGCTTTGAGAAACAAAAGTCAAAATGCAACTTGTGTCTGATGTCAGGATTTTGGTGGTGGTAGTGGCTGAGAGGCACAGTGTAGCCAGCTGGTTTTTATCCTAATACCCTTTGCATCTGTAGAAACTGCTTCCCCAGAAAGGAGATGTGTGAGGAGTCTTGGTCCTCTAGGATACAGACAGTGAGTGTGGGAGTTAGCACAGAGCCTTGCTATGCCAGGTGAGTTTGAAAATCAGGCTGGGGATTAAGGGAGTGTGGGATGAGTTGTTATCTGCTTTGACGACTACAGTATAATCACACTTTGTGGGAAACTGTATACTTCCCTGCAGGTGGGAAGTAGAGACAGACAAAGTTATTCTCCAGTAGTGGCAAAAGCAGATAGATTATGGCAAGTGCACACCTGGCTACCAGTGCTTTCTGCACCAGGTCCTCCAGTAAGTGCAGTTGTGGGTGGTCACAACAAAGATGTCAACCAAGTAGCTTTAGTTCAATGTCAGGTGATAGAAATATACTAGAATCTGAGCACTCTGACAAAGTTGCAGCATTCCTAAAACAAATTCTGTAAAAATCTAGCCCAAAAATAAGTTTCTGAGACTTTTCTCAAATAGAAGTTATATACCTAGTCCTTAAGAGTGTTTTTTTTTTGGGGGGGGGGGTTGTTTTTGTTTTTGTTTTTGAGACAGAGTCTCACTCTCTCCCAGGCTGGAGTACAGTGGCGCGGTCTTGGCCCACTGCAACCTCTGCCTCCCGGGTTCAAGCGATTCTCCTGCCTCAGCCTCCCAAATAGCTGGGACTACAGGTGCCCACCACCACGCCCAGCTGATTTTTGTATTTTTAGTTGAGACGGGGTTTCACCATGTTGGCCAGGCTCGTCTCAAACTCCTGACCTCAGGTAATCCACCCGCCTCGGCCTCCCAGAGTGCTGGGGTTATAGGCGTAAGCCACCATGCCTGGCCAACAAAACTCTTAAAAGCTCTACTTTTCCTAATGAAACTGTTTTCCTACCAAACATTTTTACTATCTCCTCATGATTCCAGCTGGCTTAGCTAATTGCAACATACTTAGCTAATTACATGTAAGTTTACATGCATGCATACAAACTGTGAAATGGTAGAATTATTTTAAAGGGAAGTCAAATATTGTCTTTTATATCTTGATTTCTGAGGGTGTTGGAATATATCTAAGTTATCCTTCCCAGAAGAAAGAATATTAGGGAGGTGGGAAGTTTGGTGTTTAATCTGATTTGAAGATTTACTTTTTCTGTTGGATTGAGGGCATTGATCCTATGTCATCCTTGGGGAATCCCTATCTAGGCTCCTGATTCACTGTGATAAGCAGTGAGCTGTGTTCCTTCACCTTGACCTCAGTCTGACCCATACTTGTTGTGACCAGGGCACTGCGGCAGCCTGGGCTTCACCCTGAAACACCAAACAAGAACAGGAGGTTCAGCCATCACTCCTGGGATGCCCAGATCAGGCAGTGGAGAAGAGCCCTACATTCCTGGGACCCTCCCTGCCAGCCTCTGCAGGGCAGAAGGGCTGAGGGATGTGTTTTCTATTCCTGGTTCTTTTTATGACTGGTAGGCTTAGCCCTACTTCTCCCCACTTTGCAGAGGTTTAGCTTTCACTGGGTGAAAGGGGAAGGTCTGAATCGAGTGTATGTTCCTCCCACTTGGCTGTTCCTTCCTAGGCAGGGAATGGAGAGTCTCTTAGAGCCAATGGATTCCACTCCTTTGGATGACCTCCTGAACCACTGGCTCCAGGCCCTGGAACCTTCAGAATATGGATGGAGAGTATCCTTTACTGAAACCCACTGAAGCAGGGTTACAGATGGGGTTTGGCCCATGAGGGCACAATTAAGATGCGGTTCAAAGCAGTGGCTCAAGAACAAAAGAATAAAAAGGGGGCAGCAGGGAAAAAGAGCAGGACATGAGTAAAAAAATCCTTGGGAACTAAAAGTAGAATAAGGAGATTTAATTATGGGTAGGACTGTTAGGCTGCACTGGGAGGCAACATAGATGATTTCATAGATGATGAAAGGGGATGTAACCTTCCTTTGAAATGAGGCCTGAAACTTGACTTGCAGGGTTTTTTTTTGTTGTTGTTTTTGTTTTGTTTTGGGTCTCAGTTTCTTTCAATGTTTTGCAAATGAGCCAATGCCTACTTTTAACTCAACCATTTAACTAGTAAGCTTGGTTAATAATAAAAAGGGGAACAGCTTAGTGGTGAAAAGCAAGGGCTTTTAGACTGCTTTTTGATAGTACCTTTGCCTACCATGTGGGCAGTCACTTAACCTCTTGGGCTGTTTCATTTGTCAAAGAGAAGGTTTTGTTTCATTTGATGATTGTAAGAAAAAATGAGAATATATATCAAAGTATGTAGTCCAAGTGTGGTGGTTCACACCTGGAATCCCAGCACTTTGTTTTTTGTTTGTTTGTTTTTGAGATAGAGTCTCATTCTGTTGCCCAGGCTGGGGTGTAGTGGCACAATCTCGGCTCACTGCAATCTCTGCCTCCCTGGTTCAAGTGATTCTCCTGCCTCAGCCTCCTGAGTAGCTGGGATTACAGGTGGGCGCCACAATGCCCAGCTAATTTTTGTATTTTTTAGTAGAGATGGGGTTTCACCATGTTGGCCAGGCTGGTCTCGAACACCTGACCTCAGGTGATCCGCCTGCCTCAGCCTCCCAAAGTGCTAGGATTACAGGTGTGAGACACCATGCCAATCCCAGCACTTTGTGAGGCCAAGGTGGGAAGACTGAGGCCAGGCGTTTGAGACTACCCTGGGCAACATAGCAAGACGCCTCTCTCTACAAAAATAGAAATAAATATGCTGGACACGGTGGCACACTCCTGTAGTTCTAGCTACTCAGGAGACTGAGATGGGAAGGATTGCTTGAGCCCAGAAGTTCAAGGCTGCAGTGAGCTATGATCGCTCACTGCACTCCAGCCTGAGCAACAGCAAAACCCCTGAGCAACAGCAAAACCCCGTTTCTAAAAAAAAAAAAAAAAAAAAAGCATGGTGTCTGGCACATAAGAGCAATTCTTGGAAACCATGTGTCCCATACTTCATGGCCCCTGACTCTGCTCCTTTTGCCAAGGGGAAATAGGCAGTGCAAGGTAAATCTCTCCACCCCTATTTTCTCAGTTAGTACTGTACCTCACTTTTCTTTTTCAGTTTGCAGACTTGGTGACTCCTGCCTCCTCCCCTCCCTGGCTCAGTGAGGAAGATCCCTGCCACTGGCTCTACTTTCCAGCTGATCACAGCTATTTACCTGTCCCAGTCTTGAGTAAGGCACAAAATATTTACAGAAAACAGACGTCTTTCAGAGGACTTGCTGCTAAGTGTAATAGTGAAGATTACTTGCATACTGCTACTTTCCAATCAATTAAAAAAAAGAAATAGAAAACTTTGTATTACAAAGAAATCACAACACGAACGCAGTTTAAAGCCTCTCCTTTATCCACTTTTTTGCTTGACTCCCTAAACCATCTGTGATGCTAGCTGAGACTCGAATTTACATAAGAGCCAGAAACCATCAACCCAACCTCTTCACACACTAAAGTCTACATTCGTGTCTTTAAAAAAGACTTAAACTTTGGCTCATGTGGGAGGTGGTGGTAGTGGTGGAGACTTAATAAAAGGTGGTTTCGTCTTCCTGAAGTGGAAATATAGCACCGTCAACATCTTTTCCCCATCTGGCTGTTTCCTCCTTCCCTTTCTGTTTAAGGAAAGTGTAACCACCGTACTTCTCCCCACCTCGCCGCACCTCCCCCAACAAACGCAAGCAACTGAACCGCCTATGATGTCATAATCACAATCCCATTACCTCATCCTGCTGAGGGGGGGCGGAGAGAGAGGAGAGGGAGTGAACAGCCCTGGGCTATCCTGAGCTTTACAAAGTGTTCTGGGTGAGTGCAAATTACAGAACCAAGTGGAAACGTCCCCGCAACCATTGTAAGTTCTGGGTTTTTAAGGTTCAGGCCGATCCGGCAGCTGCAAGAGCGGCTCCTGGGACTCCGAGCAGGCCCTAATCGGCGCTTGGACCACACTTCCCAGCAGCCTTCACGCCGCGGACGGGTCCTTTGCTGGGGGAAGGGGGCTTCCTTCGCAGAGGTGGTCGTGGAGGGCGGGGCAGCCGAGCAGGTGAGGGGCACTGTGGCTAATTGCATGACGCGGGTCGAACCGAGTGGGAGGCTGCAGTTGGGCCGATGGAGGGAGGGAGGGCAGGGGCGATGCCTTTGTTTACCTTCTCCCGACATGGCCTCCCCCGCGGGTTTCAAGATGTACCTCCAACTGGGACCGTCCACTTTCTGCGATATTTTGGAGGGGGTGACTCGTTAGTGAGGAAACCACCCCCATCCCTAAATCAAAGCGCCAGGCTCGTTCCCGACAGCGCTGTCCGAGAGAGACTTTGAGAGAGACACGACACGAAGCTGCCCTCTCCGTGGGTGGCTCGGGGGGATTCTGCGAGCCGGAGCTGTCCCACTACTCTCCTCAGGGACTCGTTGGTTCGCGCCAGCGCCTTTTAAGGACACCGTGGGGCGAACGGAGCGCTCAGAGCTGCTCCGGCCGCGGCCCTGGGAGCTGGAGGAGCTGCGGTAGGTGGCGGAGGGCAGGTGGCGCTGGGGCCTCGGGGCGGGCACCTCAACTGTCCCTCCCTCCTTTCCTCTTTCCCCTCCCCCAGCCCGACCGCCCGCGCGGCCGGGCCTCGCAGGCCGCCTCCGCGGGGAGAGCACGGGACCCGGTGGGGGAGGGGGTGGCGAAGTGCTAAGTCCCAGACCCTCCCCATCCCTTGCGTCCTGAGTTCGCTTCCCGCGGCCAGATGATGGAACCTAGTGGGAAGAGGCGAACGACAGCCCCCCCTGAGCGAGCCCTGGCGCCCCCCCGCTCCGGGGACCAGCGGACGCCCCATGCCCCACCCCGCGGGGACAGGCAGGGCAACAGAGGGAGAGGTTGAAGATTGGAGGGGCCTAGCCTTTTGCTTCTTCATGGGGGTGGGGGGAGGGGTGTTCCCCACTTGTCACCCCTTTCCCCAGCAGAACCATATGGAGGAAGAGCAGGCAGGTCTCCACCTACCTGTTCATGCACCTCCCTGCCTTCCTCATGTTTTCCTTCAGTCTCCCCAAGAGGTGTGGGGCCGTGGACCTGGGGGGAAGGTCCCCAAGGGATTTGTGACTCTCCTCCCTGTTGGCCTGACCTGATCCTACCTTGTCTAGGTTCAGCACAACCTCAGCATCCCTGAAACAGGAGTGTCAGGGGTTACTGCCATCCAATAGGAGATGGGGTGGGGGTCTGATCTTTATTTTTGGGGGCTGCTGGTGGAGGGAAAGCCTGAACTGAGAGTTAGGCCTGGTGGGGTTGCTGAGAGGGCCTAGCGGCCTGCTGCTCTCTGAAGGGCTGAGCCCCGTGCCAGTTGTTAAACTGAGAAGTTTTAACTTGTTTAGTGACTGTTCAGGGCTGTCTCTACCCTTCAGATACACAAAATGGAAGGGGAAGGAAGGCGGCAAGAGAGGGCTTCTTACACTTTTTTCAATGCCTGCTTGAGAAAGAGGAGGCCCCTCGCGGAGCTGGTTTGCCTTCTTTTGTGTCCTGGTTTGATTCCTTATGGCTTCCGTTCTGTTCCCCCTCTCAGCCTGGCCTGTTTTAGGAAACTCAGGCTGAGAGTATCAGTTGCGTGGTGGTAGTTGCATTGTTCCAATTACCGCTGTGTGTGGCCACATCCCAACAATTAAAATGCAGAAAAACACAAATTCACTCTCTTGACTTGATCCTAGAGATGGCTGGGAGTTTGCTGTTTGTCCAAATGCCTCATGAAAAGCTAGAGAGTTTGCTTCACTCCCTGCTCCTCATAGCTGGTTAGCCTGAGGCCTGGGGTCTCGGGGGTAAAATCCTGCACTTAGGTTCCCTCTCTGGTTGATCTTTGAGGGCAGCAGAGTTAAGAAACCAGGAGCAGAAGTAATATAAGCTTTAGCTTCTCCCTTAAGCATATAGGGGAAGCAGCTGAAGAGAGCTCCCCGGAAGCTAGAATTTTGTTCAGGGTGGTAATAATTATGCATGAAAATGATAGTTAACTATAACGATGATTGACTTCTCTTGCACCTTTCTTCCAAAGAACTCCAAATACATACAGGTTTATCTCTTTGCTCTTCCTTATGGCCTCCTCCTGAGGTGTGAGTGGGGTAGAGATAATTTCCTCTTCTTTGTAGAGTGATCTGTCCCCAAGGTCACAGAAGGAACAGCCCTCTTGGGCTTTTCTTAGTGTACAGGTGAGGGAGGATGGTATTCAGCCAGAGAGATAGACCCTATTGCCTTCTTCATCTTATTGATTTCATTACTTCTGACATTCTGAGGCCTTGAAGATTCACAAACGGGAACAAGAAATGGTAGTCTATGTGGACTCCTGATTTTTATAGGCCAGATGGTACATTTTGTACATTTTAATATGTTATATTGTTCCTGTGACAGGTTAAGATTATTCTGCCCACTTTACATATGGGTAAACTGAGGCCAGCGAGTATTAAATGATTTGTCAAAACTCTTAGCAAATTGGACTAATAATTAGATTTCTTGATGATTTGTTCTATTGACTAGCTAATGCTACACACATTCTCTGGTAAGCTGTCAGCTTGCTGGTCATTTCCGGGAATAGACAGAATAAAATCAAGACACTGGCTTAACCTCCCCTTTTCCCTTGAGCAAGGCCCCTCAGGTAATTGTGTGGGCTTGAAGCCTGTTCTCTGATACAGTTAGTTTGCTTCTATCAGAAGTTGACCATGAGAAAGAATCTTGGTTAACTGTATCCATGGACTTTGCATCAGATCAGGCTAAAAACTTAGTTGAATAAAGTCATGGAATTGTTTATAACGTCTGTAGAGTTGAAATGTATTGGAATTACCCTGATCATTTCCTTATCCTCTTCCCATTTGATAAGAAAACAAACACCATATCTATGGGAAAACAATAATATATCAAATGTTTAGGCTGTAGGAGGACATAAAATCCTATGTACTCAGGTCTGAAGCAGAAAGTCTTGCCTACAACCACTGTTCTTCCTTGTTCTCTTATTACTATTTCTGTAGTTTAGGAGAAGGGTACCTCTTTTCACTTCTGACTAGAAGATAAAATACTGGGCTGATCTCGAGGGAAATAATCATTTGGGCATCCCTCTCTCTCATGTGAGCAGCTGTTTTCTAAGTGCTGCTGGTATTCCAGTTAGAAACAACAGAGCATGAACCAGGTTAAGGGTAGCAAATAAGTTTCAACTTGATTGCCAACTCTATTTTATTTCATATCTGGACTGCCAGTTCATAATTTCTGAAGCTGTGTTTAGGCTTAGCTAGAAAGAGCTGTGATCAATTGATGTCTGCCAGAGGCCTGGCTTAGGGGTGCTGTGGTATGTGTGCCATGCATTTTCCATCTCTGGACCAGGTGCATCTCTAATATCACTTGGGGCTGGTCCCTCTAATTGGCAGACTCAGCAGGCATGACTGGAGAGGGAAGTCCCAATGGTGCTAGAATGGTGCTGCAGTGGCAGAAGACGGCTTACGAGTGAGGTCTGGAAGAACAACAGGGAAGACATCCATCATTTGCTCCAAAGTGTGCAAGTCAAATCCTGGGGAGAATCATGATAACCCTGATCACTGAGCAGCTACAGAAGCAGACTCTGGATGAGCTGAAATGCACACGCTTCAGCATCAGTCTGGTAAAAGACCAGTCTTCCTGCTTCTCCACGACCCCCTCCCCCTTTTTTCTGAGGCTGATTGTTGCTACTACTTTACTCTTGTCCTGTGCTGTATGAATCATGGTACTTAACCTGAAGAGCCCACTAATGGCTCAAAACCCAGCCCAAAAGGAAGGGGGCAGGGATTTTTCCACCTATAGAGAAGGGACAACAAAACTTGGGTGGAGAAGGGTTTGAGATGTTGGAAGATGTGGATTGTTTGACTTACTAACTTTGGGAAGACGAGAGGAAGAACACTTAATGTCCCTAACATCCCTATAGCTCATGAATTGCAGAGGAGAACTGAAGAGGGCTTCCTAGAAATCTGTCAGTGTGTCCTGAATCCAAATCATGATGGATATTCTCTCTTTCTTAGCCTTTGCCTGATCATGCAGACATCTCCAACTGTGGGAACCCTTTCCAGCTTGTGTCTGGTAAGGCATCGTGTGTGTTTGTGTATATGTGTATACCCATTCCTCTCTCCACACATTTCTATCATTGGTTTCCAGTGAACAGGGCTAGCAAGCCTACCTCTAGAACTTTCTTGCCAGGGTCAACTTCTGAGATTGGCAGTTGTCTTTCATGTTATAGCATGAAAGTTATCTGGTTGGTTTGCTCTTATTCTAGCTTTGTGGAGACTTGTATAACCTATTTTTTTGAATAGGTAATACATTCACATGGTTCAAAATTTAAAAAATAACAACAAAAAGGTTATGCTGAGAAAAGTGTTACTCTCCTGTTCCCTATCTACTCAGCTTCTACCACCTCCCTAAAAGTATAAGTTTCTTACACAGTATATGTGACTAGAATTTCTGTATATAAAAAGAAGCAAATGTGTATATTTATTTCCTTTCTTTTTTTTTTTTTTAAGTTCTGGGCTACATGTGCAGAACCTGCAGGTTTGTTACATAGGTATACATGTGCCGTGGTGGTTTGCTGCACCTATTTTATTTCCACATTTTTAACACAAAAGGTTGCATACTATATATTATTTTGTACCTTAAAAAAAAAAAAATAGGACCGGGCCTGGTGGCTAACGCCTATAATCCCAGCACTTTGGGAGGCTGAGGCAGGGAGATCACCTGAGGTCAGGAGTTTGAGACCAGCCTGACGAACATGGAGAAACCCCATCTCTACTAAAAATATAAAATTAGCTGGGTGTGGTGGCTCATGCCTGTAATTCCAGCTACTAGGGAGGCTGAGGCAGGAGAATCACTTGAACCCAGGAGGCGGAGGTTGCGGCGAGGCAAGATGGCGCCATTGCACTCCAGCCTGGGCAACAAGAGTGAAACTCCATCTCAAAAAAAAAAAAAAATCACTGGGCACAGTGGCTCATGCTTGTAATCCTAGCACTTTGGGAGGCCAAGGTGGGCTGATCATGAGATTAGGAGTTCGAGACCAGCCTGGCCAACACAATGAAACCCTGCCTCTACTAAAAATACAAAAATTAGCCTGGCATGGTAGTGCACATCTGTAATCCCAGCTACTCGGGAGGGCAAGGCAGAAGAATCACTTGAACCCGGGAGGCGGAGGTTGTGGTAAGTGCAGATTACGCCACTGTACTCCAGCCTGGGCAACAAAGAAAGACTCCATCTCAAAAAAAGAAAAAAAAAAAACTTTAATATAGCTAGGAGATCTTTCCCTATCAGAATGCTGAGCATTCCCTTGTTATATATAGCTGCATATTATTACACTGCATAGATGTACAGTGGCTTATTTCACGAATCTTCTATTGATGTACATTTAGGTTATTTCCAATCTTGTTTCAGTACATAAAACTGTAGTGGGCCAGATGTGGTGACTCATGCCTGTGATCCCAGCACTTTGGGAGGCCGAGGTGGGCAGATAGCTTGAGGCCAGGGGTTCGAGACCAGCCTGGCCATCATGGTGAAACCCCATCTCTACTAAAAATACAAAAATTAGCCGGGCATGGTGGCAGGTGCCTGTATTCCCAGCTACTTGGGAGGCTGAGGCAGGAGAGTTGTCTGAACCCAGGAGGTAGAGGTTGCAGTGAGCCGAGATCGTGCCCACTGCACTCTAGCCTGGGTGACAGAGCAAGACGCCATCTCAAAAAAAAAAAAAAAGAAACTGTAGTGAATAACCTTGTACATATGTCATTTTTTCACATGTGAAAATATATCTGAGGTATAAATTCCTAGATTATTAATTAGTCAGTTAAAGGGCCCCTGATGGTAGGGACATTTAGATGGAGGCATCACTGGTGGACAATCAGAACTCCTTAACTCATGCTGCTCAACTGTTCTGCATCTCATTTTCTTTTCTAGGATACCTAGCAAGGGAAGTGAGTTGGCAAAAACATGTTCATTCAGTCTCTTCCTCCCGTTTATCAAAGACTTGCTGAAAGCCAGGTGTTGTGTCATAAGTATAGAGCAGGAACTCATGGTCTCTGCCCTCGTAGTGGTTAGTAGAGGGAAGAACTATAGACCAAATACACTCAGTATGAATTTTGCCACCGTCAAGTCTGACTTCTTATACTTGTCATTTGCCCCAAATATCCAGCCCCTGCAGAATTCCAGCCAGCTTGGACTGCAGAGGAGTTTGGACTAGGCCCTTTGTCCCTTAATGAGCCATCTCCCAAAAGTCACAATTTTGGTTGGAATACAGTGAGTGAGGATTGTTTCTTTTAGTCCATTTTCCCTTCCTTCTCTTGGTCCCTCCATCTGTTTGGATTTAAGAGAAGGCCTAGGGGAAGGGAATCGGAATATGTGGGTGGCCAGACACAAAGGAAGATGAGCAGCACAAAGTCTTAGGGTTTCCCAAGCCCAGGTTTCACTGTCAAAGGCCTTCCCCACCCTGTTTGCCCTCCCTAGGAATAAAAGTGATCTCTTACCTGCCTGATTACCTCTTACTTTTTGGCAGTACTAACTCCTGACTTGGTGCTGTTGACACATGAGAAGAGGAAAGGCCAAGGAAGGAGAGCATAGGCCTGCTTTTCAGCATCCAGAGCAAGCGTAGGGGAGGGGCGGGGGAGGGATGAGCAGGACACACACAATCGTGTTTGTTTCTTTTGACTTCTTTTACCTTTCAGAGGGAATGGCAGGCAGTAGATGAAATGTTTTTGATTCCAGGTAGTTGGTCACAATGGAGGCAACAGAGCGTAGTGGTTTAAAAACCTGGCCTTCACATCAGACAGACCTGGATTTGAATCCTCCTTTGGTCTTTTTTTTTTTTTTTTTTTTGAGACGGAGTCTGGCTCTGTCGCCCGGGCTGGAGTGCAGTGGCCGGATCTCAGCTCACTGCAAGCTCCGCCCCCCGGGTTTACGCCATTCTCCTGCCTCAGCCTCCCGAGTAGCTGGGACTACAGGCGCCCGCCGCCTCGCCCGGCTAGTTTTTTTTTTGTATTTTTTAGTAGAGACGGGGTTTCACCGTGTTCGCCAGGATGGTCTCGATCTCCTGACCTAGTGATCCGCCCGTCTCGGCCTCCCAAAGTGCTGGGATTACAGGCTTGAGCCACCGCACCCGGCCCCTCCTTTGGTCTTTTGATTGCTGTGTGATTTTGGGAAAGTTACTGAATTTCTCTTATCTGTGAAATGGAGATAATGATAATGATACTACCTACCTCATAAAGTTTTTGGAAATTTTCACATAAAATGCTCCATACATTGTGTGGCACGTGGTAAGTTCTTAAAAAATGTAAGCTATCATTAATATTATTTTTATTACAAATGCCTTCCAGAAGGTGCTTCCTGGAGGGGCCTGCCCCACTGTTCCTGTGCTGAGTTCCAGGACAGCCTCAACTTCAGCTACCATCCCTCAGGCCTGAGCCTGCACCTCAGACCACCCAGTCGGGGAAGCTCCCCCAAGGAGCAGCCCCTCTCCCAAGTCCTAAGACCTGAGCCCCCAGACCCAGAGAAGCTTCCTGTGCCCCCTGCCCCTCCATCCAAGAGGCACTGCCGCTCACTCTCAGTGCCCGTGGACCTGTCTCGCTGGCAGCCAGTGTGGCGGCCCGCCCCCTCCAAGCTGTGGACTCCCATCAAGCACCGGGGCAGTGGTGGAGGGGGTGGGCCGCAGGTGCCTCACCAGAGCCCCCCGAAGCGGGTCTCCAGCCTCAGGTTCCTCCAAGCTCCCAGTGCCTCTTCTCAATGTGTCCCAGCCCACAGACCCTACAGCCCTCCTTTCTTCAGCCTGGCCCTGGCCCAAGATTCCTCTCGACCCTGCGCTGCCTCCCCTCAAAGTGGCTCCTGGGAGAGTGATGCTGAGTCCTTGTCACCTTGCCCACCTCAGCGCCGCTTCTCCTTGTCACCCAGCCTGGGCCCGCAGGCAAGCCGCTTCTTGCCCTCTGCCCGGAGCTCTCCTGCATCCTCACCAGAGCTGCCCTGGCGACCTCGAGGTCTCCGCAACCTTCCCCGAAGCCGCTCACAGCCTTGTGATCTGGATGCCCGCAAAACTGGGGTCAAGCGGCGCCACGAGGAGGACCCCCGGCGTCTGCGGCCTTCCTTGGACTTTGACAAGATGAATCAGGTGGGACCAACAAGACTAGAGGAGCTTGCATGGGAGTGTGGGGACTCTGTTCTGTTTCCGCTTTTGAGCTAGCCCCTAGCTTCATTACCCTGCCGCTCCCATCTCCCCTCCGCCACCAACAGCACCTCCTTTAGCTCTCAGGGTGACCTACCATCCCAGCTTGGCTGGGACTGTCCCAGTTTTAGTACTGAAAGTCCCCCCATCCTGTGAAATGCCTTAATCCTGGGAGTTAGAGAAACTGGGGTGAGACCCATGTTAAACCTTCCAACAGGGATCCCAAATTGTCTTGCAAGAGGTACTTTCCCTCCTTTCCAAGAATGCATAAGCTGCAAAAAATTTCATCATCAGTACCTACTCCTTGTGCCCAAAGCTGGTTTTGCCACTTGCCTGTCACTGCTTCAAAGTGGTTCTGTGAAGGCTGAAGCAAGATGGGCTGCTACAGTGTATTCATTTGTTAGACCAATGTTTTTTGACTTCCTGGTTTGAGTATAGTTATTGTATGTATGCACTTGCTCACTCTTTTCATATTATTCTTTCTAGACCACTGGGTTACAAACCTCTTTAAGAATTGATTTAGGCCGGGCTCGGTGGCTCAAGCCTGTAATCCCAGCACTTTGGGTGGCCGAGACGGGCAGATCACAAGGTCAGGAGATCGAGACCATCCTGGCTAACACAGTGAAACCCCGTCTCTACTAAAAAATGCAAAAAAACTAGCCAGGCGGGTTGGCGGGCACCTGTAGTCCCAGCTACTCGGGAGGCTAAGGTAGGAGAATGGCCTAAACCTGGGAGGCGGAGCTTGCAGTGAGCTGAGATCCGGCCACTGCACCCCAGCCTGGGCGACAGAGCAAGACTCCGTCTCAAAAAAAAAAAAAAAAAAAGAATTGATTTAACTTTTTCATAGAGTCGTCCATCCCATCTGCAAATATTTACTGACTCTGACTAGGCACTGGCAGTACAGAGTAGTGAAACACTGCAGATGATGTTCTTGCCCTCACAGAGCTTCTATTCTTGAATCCAATGGAAATAATGGGCGCCAAATTTTGTCAGAAAGTTTACAAATCACACCTGTAATCCCAGCACTTTGGGAGGCCAAGGCGGGCAGATCTTGAAGTCAGGAGATCGAGACCATCCTGGTTAACACAGTGAAACCCCGTCTCTACTAAAAATACAAAAAATTAGCTGGGCATGGTGGCGGGTGCCTGTAGTCCCAGCTACTCAGGAGGCTGAGGCAGGAGAATGGCGTGAACCCAGGAGGCGAAGCTTGCAGTGAGCCAAGATCATGCCACTGCATTCCAGCCTGGGTGACAAAGCGAGACTCCGTCTCAAAAAAAAAAAAAAGAATGTTTACAAACCTTACCCTAAAGCCTTAGAATTCTTGCCTTCAGGTGTAACTGTCTTCTTTGTTTGTTTGACAGAAACCATACTCAGGAGGTCTCTGTCTCCAAGAAACAGCCCGGGAAGGCAGCAGCATCTCTCCACCGTGGTTCATGGCCTGTAGCCCCCCACCCCTCTCTGCTTCCTGCAGCCCCACTGGGGGTTCCTCCCAGGTGCTGAGTGAAAGCGAAGAGGAGGAGGAGGGGGCTGTGCGGTGGGGTCGGCAGGCGCTGAGCAAGCGGACACTGTGCCAGCAGGACTTTGGGGACCTGGACTTGAATTTGATTGAGGAGAACTAAAACTGAGAGGCTACTTCCTGGGGCCACACAGACTGACTCTCTCATGGCTACTAACAAGTGTCGAGGCCCCAAGGCTGGGGGCCAAGCCTGGGAATGGGGGTGAGTGGAGGGCTCCGACTCAGGGCAGCCGGAAATCTTCTCGCTCCAGCAAGCTCGACCATGCCGAGAGACTGGCTGGGACAAGATAAACGGAGCTGGTGGCGGGAGGGACAGCCCCAGAGCAGACCCTTCCCATGGCGGCCCTGAGTGTGAGTATCCCTGCCACGAAGAGAGCAATGGGCAGGGAAGGAACGGGTCTGCCGACCCCAGCTCGGGGAATTTCACTAGCCCCTTTGCTTCAAAGGGCACTTGTGTCTTAGAATTTGGCCAGGGTGGGGGGTTGAGTCAGCCTCCTCAGAGAAACTGCGTGAGAGTGTGTGCGTGCATGGGCGTGTACTTGTGGAACGGTGTGTTTGCGTAGCCTTAGGGAAGGAAGGCAATTGCTCCTTAACAGCAGAGTATCATGATACCCCCGGGATCTTGAGTTTTTTACAGGATGTTGGGTTTGCTCAAGGAGTCAAGAGGAGGGCGCAAAGTTTTCCTTTTTTCTAAATAGCTCTGGAACCAGGCTTGTAATCCATAGCATCACCGACTCTGCAAAGGATTTCATTTTGGGGCACAGCAGGGTGTTTTAAGTGCTGTGACTTCAGCTAATGATCTTTTCCTCAGCCCCACCCCCTCCCCACTAGCTCGATCTAGTATATTGGGGAATGCAGGTGGGGGGTGTCACCATATTTTTTCTGAGCTGGCCTTTTTTTCTCATTAGATTGTCTAGGCTATATACCACCTGCCTCTTTTGCCCTGTTGAATAGAGTTGCACACAGCACACGGGCAACTGACGCAGGGTTGAGGGACTCTCTCTCTGTCTCTCTCTGCCTCTGCTGATGGGACCCTTTTCCCTCACCCTCTGCCCTTCTAGGTCATAGACTAGGTAGGAAGGCCCTGTATTGGTCTGCAGCATCTACTGAGGCAGACCTGCAACAGAAGTGGCATTCAGTCCCCAGCAGACATGAGTGAGCTCACCCCAGCACTGCTGTTGGGAAGGTGACTGCAGGAAACCAATTCTTACAAGATCCAGGCCCAGCCTTTTCGACCTGCTTGAGAAGGAGGAAGGGGTGGTTGGCATTTAATAGTTTGCTTGTCTTCCACTCATGCCAGGAAGTGTTTATTTGCCTTTAATTGGCCCTGAGAGACCATAGGGAGGTTGGGGCTCACCGAGGGATTGGCTGAGGATGTATAAAGCAAAGGCTGTGAGAAGCAGTTGGGAGTTTGGTTGTCATTGGATTGAATTTACTTTTTTGTTTCCCACCCGCAACTTGAGCCAGGACAGCTGGTCCCAGTGGCCACAGTGATGGGTTTAAGTACCTTGGTAGGGCTGGCACCAGTGGAAACACATACTGAAGCTGACCCCACAGTAGCTTGTGAGGTTTTGTCCAGCTTTGGTTAGACCCTACATGACCAAATTGGACCTGCCCTTCTTCTTTATGGCAAGAAGGGCATTTTTCTGTTCAATTTCCAGGGTTTCCTAAGACCCAGTTCCTCTTGTAAGGGAAGAAGACCAAGGTCTTTGTGTTTTCTTCCTCATGGAATTGAACCTGACATTTTCTGGATCTCCTGCACGTCAGGAGCATCAGTGAGGCTTCAGCCTCCTCGTCTCCACTCCAGAGAGGAGGTGGCCATGTCTTCTTAAGCCTCTGGCCCTCAGAGGCTCCTCCCTATCTCCTGGCTAGTTACTACTGGGCTACCAGGTCTCTAGGGGCTTCAGAGAGGCCCTCTGGAGAATCCAGGGAAACCGTGAGCCCAGGAGTTGCCCATCTATGGTTTCATTCCTCCCCTGGCTCTTCTCCCTCTTCAGGCCATAATTTCCCTGGTGCCAACTTCTTTTCCTTCTGGGGTATCCTCATCCCTGGGCTCTCTGCTGCAGATTGGCTGTGCCAGCTTCCCACAGGTCACTGGCAATGCCAGTGAGTTTCTGCAGGCCCTAAGCTGAAGAAGTGAGGCAGTGATTCTGCCTCCATCCTGGTTTCCCCAAAGCCCCAGGGCACCATCCTTAGGGGAGAAGGTCTACAGTTATCATTATTTTAATTCCATTACTTTCAGTCTGGAAAACTAAGCTAGTCAGAACTATCATCTTGCTTCCCAATCTAAGAACCTGTGGCCCTGGAACACTTTTCAAGAAGTGGTTCATTTTGCTTTACACAGTAGATCTGTTTCAACAGTTCTGTGTAAACCAAATGCTGTTTTTCAATGCATTTGGACTGCTGACCATTTAAAAGCAGCCTATGATTGCTTCTTTTTGTAAAGCAAGCAACCTCCCTTCACTTTAGCTGTTTTGACTATTTGAATTTTCACATATTGGGCTTACCCAGAGTGGAGCACACCTCCAGGGCATGTGGCTGACACTGGGTAGATGTCTGCATCTGTGCTGTGTGTGTGGTGTGGTTGGCCAGTAGGTGAGTATCCCTGTGTGTGTGAGTGAAGCCACTCCCCAGGCTGGTGCTCTCTTCCTGTGCCCAGTGACTGCCCAGTGGCAGCCCAGCTGCCCTTCACTCCCACCTGCTGCCAAAGTCCCTGTGCTAATGGGATTACAAATACAAAAAGTGGAAAAAAAATTTTCGTAAACTTTGTTTTATATTAAAAAAAAATCCATAAGTCTGTGTGTGTTAAACATGAGGTTCTGCCTCTGTGGCTGTGTTTGAAAAAATAAAGTTTTATTAGAATAATCCATTTTCCCAAGCAACCTTGTGTACTACAGTGTCTTCTTCCCTTCCCCACAAAGACAGACAAGGAAGAAGCAGGGTAGGAGGCCACCTAACTCTTTCAGCCCCTTCCTCTAAGATGTAGGTCAACCTTTCAAAAAGGGGCAGTATTTGGACCCTAGGCCCTTTGCCGGCCATGGCAGGATGTTATACTGTGGCCCAGGCTTCTGCTAAGGCCTTGGTTATTTTTGGCAGTCTGGTTTGGTCTCTCTTTCCCTGGCACTTATACTTGTCTCCTCCTGCCTGCTGTCACTCTCACTTCCAGCAAGTTGAAGTCAAGTATTAATGCATTCCAGCTCCCTGAGAGATGGTTTATGGTACAGTCAGGAACTTGTCTAGATTGGTTTGTAGGCTTTGGGAAGTAGGGAGAAGGCAGGGTGGGAGACGGCCAGGGATCTTTCTTAAGTTTTCACATGTTACATCCTGGAGAGATAAAGGTTTAGTCATCAGAATTCAGATTCCAAAGACCTAGGCAATTTTTCCATCCTAAAAATACTGCTTTTGGAAAATTATCCTAGCTGTAAAGCTTCTCTTTTGTTGTAGAAGACAGTATTTTCCCTAATGTTTCCTTTTGGAGTGTTGGTTTGCGGAAAGAAGCTATGTGGCTCACTCTTTCTTTAGACCTTTCTATTCTACGCTTTCTTCTCTCTATGTTGACATTCTTCCAATGTGTGTAGGTGAAGTGTAGTTGCTCAGAGATCCAGGCAGGAGCCTCTGTCCCTAAGGCTTAGCCTTTCTTTACCAGTTGTGGTGTTAATTTGCCAGGCAGCAAGAAGAGTCAAGTTGCTTAGCCTATGTCCTGGTTTCCTGCTTCAAATTGGTGGCACTCATCATTGAATACCAATGAAGTGTGCTCAGGAGGACAGGATTGACTTGACTACCTGGAGCAGGAACCTTTGCAGGGCTGCAAATACACCCTAGAAAAAGTGAGGGTTGTTATCTGCGCTGGAAACAAAGGAAGGGCTTTTGGGAAGTGGAGGGCAGTGGCATGTAGTTAAAGAAGCTTAGAATTACATTTGTTTTTGTTTAAAACTGATGTTTCATTTCACCTACTGCTTGAGCCAGGGGTAAAGTTTGAACATCTAAAATGACTTTGTCTCCCCCTTTCTTTCTTTTGAGTTTATTTTTGTTGGATTTTTCTGCTGTTTATTTTCTGTGAGGCCAAGTGTGATTTCATTTTTCATTCCTGAAGTCTTGTTAATATAGGAAAGAATGTAAACTCCATGAGGGCAAGAGTTTTGTTTTATTCAATATTGTGTCCCCAACACTTTGGGAAGTTCCTGGCACATGAAAAGTGCTGGCCACATTTGTTGAATGCATTTCCCTTTTTGCCTTTCCCATCCCTGAACTTAGGTACATTTCTGTCTCTCTGCTGAGAAATCAGCCTTGGACATTGGGGCAGTAGTTAAATCTCTGTATGGGAGAAAATCTCAGCAGTTAATTTTGATAGAAAAGTTGCAAGGCAGATAGATCTTGTATGGATTCACCCTTGTTCCCCTTCTACCAACTACAGCTTATGGGCCATGTGCTTTAAGAGGTGGCTCTCAGCCCAGAAAAACATTCTGAGTCAGGCCTCAGGTTGGCTGTGGGAGATGGAAGTTAAAAAGAAGTGGAGGGAGGAATGTTTCCTTGGCGCTCCACAGGGTTGGTTCTAGAATGATTTTCCTATATGTTTTATACTTTAGTAAAAGTATAAAGTCAATAGTTGGTTACCCCTCTCCCTAAGCCTTTTGTTACAAGAAAAGTAGGTCAAGGGTGTAGACAAGGTTATGGACAGGAGATAGCTGGGTAGGCACAGAACCTACTGCTCTTTCCTGTCTGTAGGGAAAATCAATGAAAAAAAGTCATTTTTAGAGCAACAGTCATGGGTTATTACTAGACCCTTTATCTTTTGTACTCGTTTTGTGTATACTCAGTCTCCGCATCCATGAGACCATGGAACGTGCTAGTCCCTGATATTGCCAACTTTACATGATTGAGGCAATTTCCTGTTGCTTATTGTGGGTAACAATCTAGCCAAAAATCTCAGCATCTCACTTTCTCTACAGGCTCCTTTTCTAATCAGGAGCTACCAGTCTCCCACACCTGTATTAAATGCATTCAGATACGAGTTACAGAATTTTCTTTGCCCCCAGCCCCACTAATTCCATGGTAAGATGGGGTGCTACTAAGAGAACCCCTTTACTGCTGGTCTATTTCCAGTTCCCCTAAGAGTTGAATGGAGAAACACGTAGACTTAATAACATTGGTAGACTAGGAAGGGGAAGAAGTTAGGTCGGTTTTAGGAAACACACCAAGATGGGGGGGGGGCACGTTGGCTTTCAGTCAGTGGAAAGAGTGGTGTTATGCATCCAATGGAAGTAATACATTGGCCAATTGGAAAGGAACCTAAGAAATACTGGCAGTATAGAATGGTGCTGTTATGGGCCAATGAGAAGAAAGATATTGTGTCTCATGGACCAATGGGGAGAACATTTCCTGCAAGACAGCAGGTTGGGTGGCTCATATTTTCAGGATAGGAAATCAGTGGGGGTATTGGAGATACTAAATAGCTCAAAACATCCACTCTCTAGGTACCTTGCCCCTCACCCTCTTACCCCGTAAATGTCTTTGGCATCCGAGGAGAGCAAGCTAAAAAGCCCTCTCATATGTACGACTCCCTAAAGGAAGATTGAGACCAGGGATGGTGCCAGGGGGAAGCTGAAGGAACCGCCCACTTCCCTACCCCGGCCGAACCTGCAATTCCCCTCCCGACCGCAGGGGGCACTGCAGGCCCCGGGGAGATTGGGGCGGAGCGCTGCGAGGGGCCAGGAGCTGCCGCCCCGCTCCAGAGCGCGGGGGGCGCTGTGCGGGGCCCAGGCTGCGGCTCCGCTCCCGGCCACGGGGGGCGCTGCGCGGCGCCGGTGGTTGGTGGTGGCTGTTGGGGGGGGTGGGGGGGAACGGCGGCCGCGGGTGGTGCGGAGGGAGGCCTTGCGGGCGGATCGGGCGCTTGGCGGCGGAGGCGGTGGGAGGCGGCGGGCGGGAGCGCGGGTCAGGCCGGCCCCGGCGATGGCGGACGCGGCGGCCTCCCCGGTGGGCAAGCGACTGCTGCTTCTGTTCGCGGACACTGCGGCCTCAGCCTCGGCCTCAGTCCCCGCGGCGGCGGCGGCGAGCGGAGATCCGGGGCCTGCGCTGCGCACTCGAGCCTGGCGGGCCGGCACGGTGCGGGCCATGAGCGGGGCGGTGCCCCAGGACCTAGCGGTGAGTGGCGGCCGAGTCGGGCACTCGAGGCCGGGGCTGCGGGGCCTGCGGGCGGCCTCCCCGGGGGCCTTTGTGAGGGGGCGGTGGGATGGGGGTGACCCATTTCCGTGCCCCCGCATCTCCTTAGCGCCCCCCGCCGGCACCTCGGCACCCCGAGCTCTTGCCGGCATGGCTTCCGCGTCGGGGTATGCGCCCCTGTTACCCCCGGGGGGCGGCCAGGGCGCCCGGAGCTGCTGCTTGCAGCCGGCAGGCCCCGCCTCCTGGGCGACCCTTTCTCGGCGTTCCCCCCAACACGCCTTCGGAGCAGACTCTCGAATCTTGAGCTCCCGGGAGCCTCAGAGTTCGGCCAGTGTTGCCGCTGCCCTCTCGAAGACGCGGACCTGTGGTCCCCAGCCTCTCCCAGGAGACCTGCGCCCTGTTCCTTTTCTCCCAGAGCCCCAAGTGGGGCGGGAATGTGGGCAGTTATGGGAGGCACGGAGATTGCAGTTGGAGCTGGTCGGGGCTTTTTTATCTGGCAGTTACTTCCTCGTCTGAGCTGGGCTCAGCCTGGCTGTCTCCAGAAAGGCCAGCTCTCGGCACTGTCTCGAGCTCTCGTCTACTTACGCTTCTGGGTGACAGGAGCTGCAGTTGTGGCTGTTTTTGATAAGTTTGAGATCTTTCTTAGTAGCCGAACGGGGCTGCTGGGTAGTGCTTTTTGCTCCCAGCTCAGCTACTCCCCCCCAACCCGGGAGAGGTTTTGTTTTGAAACTTTGTGTTTGGGCTTGGCCCCTTTTGAATGCCTTGGTGAGTTTCGTGATTAAAGCTGTTCAGTCTTAGAACTTAACTAGCATTCGGGATCTTGATGTGTTATTCTCGTTAATGTGGCGGTAAAATATAGTGTTTGAGTTTTGGCAAGCCACTTTATTTCCTCATTTTGATAGGGGCCCTAGCTTCTCTGGTGAGATAAGGCTGTGAAAAATGGTGTGTGTGCGTGTTGGGGCAGGGGGTGGTCTTTTGGAATGTAATAGATCAGCAGGCAGAAAGTAAATTTTCTTGATGAACTTGCTTCTGCAGATATAAACGGTAACGCAGTTTGTGAGATTTGGAAGTGATGTTGTAGGCTTCCGATGTTCATTTTTCTTCCTATTGATCAACGGTGTTAGACTGTCCTTTTTCACTAATACACAAGCTTTATGGATTTTTTTGTGCATGGCTTAGGCTTTGCTTCTGCTACTTGGGTTCATTTGCTTTGATCTTTCTTCATGCTGTGTAAGAAACGCTGCTAGGACATTTATGAGGCCTCAGTGGGGCAAATTTGCGAAGAGATATCAGAAATATAAGGGGATGGAATGATGATTAAGACTGGGATTTGGATTCCTCTGCGCTTTCTTTAAAAGATGGCTGGGATGGGAAAAGAAGTGTCCATTTCAGATTGATTCTACTCCCGTCGAGGCAAAACATACTTTGACCTAAGGCCTAGTTTGCCCTAGATATTCATTGGGATTTTTTTCTGGTTCTTGCAATGGTCGTCTCGTTTCCTCCATCAGATGAATTGCTAATGAGCTCTGCACCTGAAATGGCTCCCCATTCACTTTGTTGTTTGCTGTGCTCCCTAAGGGCAGAGGTTTTTGAAGCTCACTTCCTTTCTGGACACCCACTAAGCTAAATACTGAATAATTTTACCACTGAGCCCACGGAACTGGGTTCTCAAACCAAGTAAAAAGTTGCAGTGATTCTTGGAAATTAAAGCAAAGAACATTAC